TATATATATATATATATATATAGTCAACGAAAAAATAGTTGATTTTAAATATTTCAAAACAAAACCATGGTACAATTTAAATTAATTTACAACATTTATACCTCCACCTTGTCTTCTGGTACATTACTATTACTTCCTTTTTCCCATTCAACTTCGATATGCTCAATGCTTAATTAAGATCTTCTGCTCTTTGGCACAAAAAAAAAAACCACATACATTACCTATTTCCAAGTGTTATAGGACAACATTAAAATATAAAGCTAGTCAATTTGCAAATCACAATACTTCACAATTTTGTCTCTCAAATTAATTTTATATTGCTAATTCAATTCAATGTACAACAACTAAACTAGAAACAAATACGAACACCATAATTATCCACAAACACACAAAATAACTAATAAACAAATTAATAGCTAGCTCCAAAATGGAGTAAAAAATAAAATAGAACACAAATAATATACATCCAACCAAAAGTTATACCTCACTCAAATGATGCTCAAAACCCTCACCATCGTTACAGAATACAGACACTCGCTAATGGAGCAAAAATAGAGTCAAAAACAGATTCTTTCAACCAAAGGGCCCTCTACCGTCAACAACCCATCAAAATAATCTCTCCTAACCTGTTAAACAATGTTTTGATTCATAAATACGATTCGCCAAGACATTAGCACAAGAAAAAAAAAATCGAAGTCATCACCATACTCATTATCTTATGCGGTAAAAAAATTTAATTAAAAATGGCCATTCTCGTTTCACAAGCAGTCAAATTAGGGTTCAATGTCCAACACGGCAACACTTCCCTCAAAGAGAATCCAATCATATTAGTTAGGGTTCAAATGCCCAACACTTTCCTCAAAGAGATTCCAATCGTATTAGGTAGGGTTCAAAAAGGTTACGGTACAGTACAATTGTTTTGGAGCGAGGAGAGGGGAGAAGTGGTTTTGGTTCGCCCTAGGGGATGGAGCAAGACAACGTTCGATCCCAATTCGGATTGGGCTAGGTTGTTGGGCTAGATCGGGTTGGGTGGTGCCGTGGTGGTGGTTGAGAGTGCAGGGTGGGGGACGTGATGGGTTTAGGTGTCAGTTGGGTTAGGACGAGGATCCAAAACCATATTTGTTGTAGGCAAAGATAACGAAATAGGAGGTAGAGAAGTAAGAGGGGTGGAAGATGGTGTTAAACTCTACGGGAAAGAAACGGATTTGATTTGATTTGACAGAATCAAATCAATTTTACAATTCTTGAGTTTTACTTAAAAATGTTAAATATATATTAAAACATTATTATTTATCCTCTTTTTAGTGTCTCACCCATGAGTCACATGAAAAATGCTTCATGTTAGAAGCACTCTTTTCTCAAAATTAGGAAAGGAATGGAAGGAAGGAAACACCAGTAAAACCATCTTATATGAAAAGTAGTCTAGCTGTTTATAATACAATGGATATTAGAAACAACATATATATCTTTGATTGATGTCACCTCCAATAACATACATATATTTAATCTGAGCAAGCTGAGAATAGGGTTGAATACGTAAGTGGATTAATTATTTTTTGGGTTCATTAATTGATGCGAAGAAGGAAGCAATAAAGTGCTTAAGGCATCTGTTGTAAACACAGGGTCGTTCCAGATGAACCAGGTGACCAGCTTTCTTTATGCCTTCAAACGTGGTGCCATCCCCTAGTTGTCTGCACTCATTCAATATTTCAATCAGACGTGTTAATTATTAATACCATGTACAACAACTCTAAGTAACTGTTTAATATATGTAATAAATTAGAAAAAATAAAATATTAATTTTTTGCGTTATTGCATGCCCCCGTTAGAAAATGAAATGAGTTTTATAACAGGTTCCCCTGCACCCTCTCCCTATACACCATTAGGTGATCATGTCTGGATCAGTTTTTTAAGTGATGCATCAGAGTTTTCTAAAATTTATAAAAGAGAAAATTTAATGTAAGTCAACTAATGTCGCTTAAAAATAGTTTTGCTGTCGTATAGCTTTTATTTTTTTGTCTAGAGACTTACTCTTTCATATTTTGTGCATGCTCCAGTTTGAAAATTTGATCATTCTCGCCCCATAAGAGATGAATTCTCTGCAAACGGAAAATGAGTAGCATGAAGGATATGTTATGTGCTAATAATTAGAATACACGTGAGAACGTATGAGTTTAATTAGCTAGCACCTAGAGCGGTGCAAATAAAATTATTAATTACCTGTGGATAATTTGGGATGGTGATATCTCTATTGCTAACTACTAAGCCCTCCAAAAGCTCACCTCGCTCCTTCCTATTTGTAAACATCACCTGTAATAATTTCTCATGGAAAACCATCGTAAGCAAATTAAATTGCTTCATCAAATTAATGTTATAGTACATTAACAAGAAACAAAAATAATATATATATATATATATATATATATATATTAT